AGGGTGGGGGGGGGAGTTAATTTAAATTACAAAAGAATGCTGTCCTTTCGAGCTGCAATTTAATTATCTTTCAGTGGCACAGTTAAAAGAAACTGGATTATTAAAAAGCAATTTCTGTGACATCCGCGTCAAAGGCCTCGCACCGCTCGGAGAGAGAAAAAAAAAAGTATGAATGTTCATGAACTCCACAGAAGCTATTAAACAGTAGCTTTAGGCTAAAGAGAGAGACAGTCAGTTTTGATGTTTTAACTATTGCAAGCAGAGAGCAAGAACAAACGAAGGCGGAGCCCAGGCAGACGCATGCAGATGTGCGTATACACACACACACACACACACACACACACACACACACACACACACACACACACACACACAGAGCTGCTCTTCAGAAAACCGCTCCTCCACTGAGCATGTCACTAGGCCACTGGCCTGCTAGTTATGATAGGAGACAGGGTTCAAAAATCCACCATGAAAGGAAGAAAGGTGGCACCCAGCAGGAGATGGCCCTCGGGGACGTTAGTCGCTTGCGTCCCATGTGCCAGGGCCAATGTTTAATAGCTTCTGCGGATTAGGGGCATACAGGACATTCCCACAGAGGTGGTAACAAGAAGGCAGGGTAGAGTGCTTCAGTGTAGGTGTAGGACTAAACCAGGTCTCACCTTGGACCAATTGGCCCTCTTTAGCTGTACCTCGGGCTTATAGGTCTTCTTCGCGACCAGGCCGAAAGGCAGGACTGGTACAGCTGGGACACCCCAGCTAGACATCAAGGGAGGCGGAGCCATGCCTGGGGCCAGTGGTGGTGGAGGAGGCATACCAGGCATTCCTGGGGGAGGAGGTGGTGGAGGAGGCATACCAGGCATTCCTGGAAGGGGAGGTGGTGGAGGGGGCATACCAGGCATTCCTGGAAGGGGAGGTGGTGGAGGGGGCATACCAGGCATTCCTGGAAGGGGAGGTGGTGGAGGGGGTATCCCGGCATGGCCAGGGAGGGGAGGTGGTGGAGGGGGTATCCCAGCATGCCCTGGGAGGGGAGGTGGTGGAGGAGGTAACCCAATCTGTCCAGGGAGAGGAGGTGGAGCGGGCGGTGGAGGAAACCCAGCCTGCCCGGGCAGTGGAGGAGGGGGAGGGGGCATCCCAGCACTTCCAGGGACAGTTGGCGGCTGAGGCACAGGTGCAGGCACAGTGATGACCTTCGTCTTGGCATCCTCCAGGTCCTTGGAGAGCTTCTCTATCTGTGGAAGAAGGATTTCATCAGACAGTTTAAGGTGAAGGTAGTCTGCCATTAAATCTTCAATCTAGGCCCCAGTGGGCCAATCCACTGCACACTGCCTATCAATGCCGGGAATACATTACACTTCCGTTCAGCATGTCACATACAAAGATAGACTTATTGGCACTAATAAAAAATTTCATTACTTATTAGTATAATTGTGAGACGGTCTCTATCTCCAAATCCCATGCCGGCACAGAGCAAGTCTCTTTCATTTAAGAAGAAAATTGGATCCCTCTATACAATGACTGAGCTAATGGGTTTGAAGGCAGCAGCAAGAGTCTGAGGTTCAGAAGATGTGTTCATGTGAAGGCAGAGATGCGATGTCTATTTCCTCTGTCCCATGTGGCTCACGTCCACCCAGATGGGCAGCAGGGTGGACAGACTTAGAGAAGCAGTCCAGCCGTTGCCTGGTGACTATAACGGACAGAGCACTCGCTCCCTCTGCCAGATGCCGGGGGGCTTTGTTACTTTCCGCTGCTCTGAAAACATGACAACAGGAAGGCAGTACAGAAGCTGCCCTGATCAAACCAGCACATGTTCTACTAGCCAGGTGGACAGGAAGGATTGGGCAGCGGCAGAGGGGTAGCAGAGAAAATGCACATTTACGGAATTTCTGTTAGAGAAACCATAAAATATAAAACTCATCCCTGTCAGTCAGTGGGCCTCAATTATTATTAGTGATTGTGCTTCCCACCCACCCCCATCACAGGCAGGGTAAGGGGCTCCCACACAGATCACACTCTTCTACACACTAGCTTCAGCATGTCAGACAGCAAACACCAGACGTTCAAGGTGTCGGTGAGCGTTGCCATTCAGAGAGGCCCAAAAGTACAGCAGCGCGACGCTGCGAGTGGTTAGAGCTGGTAAATAAGATCTGGGAGTGATTACATATTCATCCCAATCCAAGGTTCAGTGACATAGAAACACAGAACAGATTCAGTTTATGAAAGCCTGTACTCTGACCAGCAAACACAATATACAGACAATATGTTCATCTTTATCATCTAATAGCCTCAGTCATTAAACATTTTAGGTAACTGTTGGAATAAATGTATGCCTTCACTGGAGTGATATGTTTAAACCTTGAACTTGCTCTGCTCTCGACTTGATGCCGTGCGCTTTGATAGTGAGGCAGCCTGCTGCAGCTTGGAAGCATAACAACAGGGAGAGTAATAGGGGACAGCCAATGACACGGCTCCGTGGTGAGGGAAAGTGCAACGCGATTGGGTGGTAAAGAAGGGGAAGTGGGGGTGGGCCAGCACCTGCTCTTTAAGCTGGATGATGTCTTCCAGGAGTTTCTGGTTCTCCTTCTCCTTCTCCAACTTCTCCTGCCCCAGGTGTTCCTTCTCAGAGCTGAGATCCTGCACTTTCTGATCATAGTCCCCTTCCATCTTCTTAAGCTCCACTTGCAGCTCGTGGCGTGCAGTCAGCTCCGAATCCAGCTGCCAATCGGGACGCAAACCCAAAACATCAACCAGACAGCCAACTGAGGGTCCAGGAAATCAATGCCCCCCGAAACCTCATCATGAGACCACATATGCTTAGATTCTACCCAATTACACAGGAAGAGTGCTTAATTGTGCTGTGATTGTAGAGGAAAGTGGTAGAGATCAAAATGTGTCTGTCACTGAGCTGCCAGGAGACTGATGCTGGCAACATGGGGAGGGAAATTGAAGGGTTGGTGCAGGGGTTTTCCATCATACCATTTTGGATAAAATTTTGGGGTTTACACATTGTGCGAGTAGGTGAGTGTGAGTGTGTGTATAACAGAGAGAGAATAAGATGCGCAAGATGTGTGTTCTGTGAGTTACGTATTTCTCAGTGACCTGGACGCCATGATGTACCCCAACCCTCTAAAAATACAAAGATGGTACCTTTTTCTCCAACTCCTGGGCTTTGGCTTCACTCATCTCCACCTTCGTTTTGTCCACCATGTTGTCTGTGTGGGGGGACGGGTTGTTGATAGAGATGAAAATGTAATACAGGCCAGGAACACCTGACCAGACTCCCCTCTCTCCCCCCCAGTCAGGGAATGAGTGCCATTAGCATCTAATTCTGACAGCCGATTTGGATGGCGGTGAATGGAACGCGACGGATTTGCAGCGTTCCGCTGAGATCATCAAGAGCCACTCGGCGAAGAGAAAAGGCACAGCTGCTAAACAAAGCAATTTCGCTCAACATCCCTGCTCACAAAGACTGGCGGACCATTTATTCTGGATGGTGTTTGGCACCCGAGTTCAAGCCTGTGTCTTTACGAGGTGGGTAATGGGTGCACAGGTGTGTGGGGAGTTGGGGGCGGCGAGCGGGTGTTAGTATTGGCACATGTACACATATATTCAGGCTGAAGACACAGGCCTCCGGCCTACTCCTGCTGGCAGAGTTCCAAGGCAAGCTGTGGATTCAAACTGACCTCTGCGGCACATACCCCCCCCCCACCCCCAACCACCAGGGTCTTACCGATTAACCCATCCACGTCCAGTTTGAAGCTCCTGCACTTAAAGTCGGGGTCGCTGCCATTCCGGTGCAGAATGATCTGGCTGATGCACTCATCAATCAGCTTGTAGTAGTGCGGCCTGTTCAGACAGAGGGGGCAGTCTGCCTCAGTGCCTAACTAGGACAGCGCCAGATTACCCACCATTCCTGCGGTGGTCCGCCATAAGCACTCCGAGCTTCGTCAGGGTCCCGGGGTGTCATTACAGAGTTGATGCAAAGCTCCAGCAGATGTTCCACGTTGGGTGATATCAGCATGCTAGGGTTAATGCCCCTGCTGCAGCTCATCATGACACAACCTTCACCCTGTGCATGAGTACCTACTATCGTAACCACTGAGGAGCAGTGTGTGTGTGTGAGTGAGTGTGTGTGTGTGAGTGTGCGTGTTAGTATGTATGTGTGTGAGTTAGTATGTATGTGTGTGAGAGAGTTAGTATGTATGTGTGTGTGAGAGTTAGTATGTATATGCGTGTGTGTGTGTGTCTGCCCGTCGCTTGGGTGTCCCCTTCCTTACCCAGTTAGAGCATGATGACTTTCATAACTTCAAATTACTTTTCCGTGTCACTTTTTCAATTATTTCATCTTCCTCCCCCAACTCTGCCATCTGTTTTTTGCCTTGGTTCATTCGTGGAGCGACAGTGACATCTAGTGCTTATACATTTTACAAGGAGGTAGGCTCCATTCGGAGATTTAAAAACAAAAGCAGCCCGACACGAATTTCTAAACCACTGTTCTATGTTTTTGTGAAAAACATGCACCACATGTGCCATCAACAAAGGCTTGCCCTCCTTACATTAAGAGCATGTCGCTGGCTGCTTGTTACTATGGAGGATGGCTACAGATACTAAAAGTAGTTCTGAAGGGCACTTAGATTTTCACACTGCCAGCCATATAAACTCATTTGTCACCCATGTCAGCCAGGTTAGTATTCCAATTTCTGGCAACACCCCGACAGAAGCTTAAGCACCCTAACTCACCAGGCATGTGTTTTTAGGTGTGACTGCATGTAAGTTCCTGACTCACGCTGGAAAACATGCGGATGAGGTTGTTCATTATAAAATTTAAATCCAACTGTAGTGCAGGAAAAACGAAAATACTGGCGTCTCATTTTAAGCCGCGCCCCTCCACCTGCACGCACCACATGCATCTTCATTGTAAATGAAACAAGACACATTAGCCCTCACGATAATCAATTATACACAGGGACAAATCCGTACAGGCAGCGCTCCCAATACCCGGGGGCCTGCAGGCTGCCTATCAATCAGGCACTTCCCACGTCGCCACGACAACAGGAGCTGCAATCAGGGGTGATGAGCTCCAGTGGCAGAACTTACCGTTTCCTGTTCTATCCCTGTCAGCATCACTCTGTTCTCTGGGGTTGGCAATGATACAATTTCACCAACCAAGCCCCCCCTGCCAAGCCTCTGAGAGCTGTGAAGCTCAGTATGAGAACATCATTTTCCAGCCTGAGGGCCCATCAGCCAAAATCACACCACATCAGAGAGCGGCAAACGGCACAGATGGCCTGCTGGCGATGCACGCTCTCGCACCCTGGGCAAAGCGCGCACAGCCCTCACAGAAACTGCATTCCGGCACACAGCCGGTTCCGTTAGGGAACCATCTTCCCCTTGTTACCTGTGCAGGTAGAGAGAAGGCAGAGCGTGAAGGAGACAGGCGTGAGATGGCTCTCACCTGACCATGTAGTCATTGCGGATGAGGAGCAGGTGCTGGAGAACAGACAGAAAATGCCCCTCTGCCTTGGAGTCCTTCACTGTGTTCATCAGGATCTGGAAGACCTCCATCATATCAGTGAGGTTCTGAGTTAAGGGCTAGTCTCTGTATGATTCCTGAATAATCACCACAGCTCTTGCCTGCCGCAGAGGTCACGTCCCATGGAAACCCCACTGACCACAGATCATATCATTTGGTCTTTGATGACATAACGGCTTCAGTTCTCCTTCACAAGACAAAAAAACCACTGAAGCCAGCTTAAGAAAAATGATCTATCGCCCTCCCAAAACTATACTTATGTAATTATAAATGCATGAAATAGCAAAATAGCAAATGTTGATGTATTTAAACAGTTCTGTGCCATATTTGTGACTCTTTCCATGAGTTACATATAAAGTACTAATCCTAGTGATCATATCTATAAAATTGCAATAGAATTTGTAGTGAGAAAGCACTGCACACCAGGAGACACCTGGTGGTGAAAATAAGTCCTACATAACTACAGCGTATTTTCTGCAAGCAGAAATCCATCCAATTTCCAGATCGCAGGATATTCCATCTCAACTCGCACATCGTCAAGTCGAGCCTTGAGCTCCTCCGAGTCATCTTCCGCCTGGTCATCGAAGACCATGAGCTGCACCTTAAGCTCTTCGTTCTCGATGGTCCGGACATCCTGTTAACGCATGTAAGCGTAGACACACGCAAAGGGTCAGGGTCGTGCAACGGTCACTCCCGCAACCGTCAACAGGGCCGCTTTTGCCCTTGTAAAATCACACAAATGCATTTAAAAGTTGTGGAATATCGGCCAGGGGGTAGATAGCTGGTTGGAAGGTACCTTGAGGAGGTTTTTCAGACCCAGCCTGTTGAGCTCCGAGCGAATGTGGATCCTGAAGTCCAGCTCCTCCCCTCGACTGATCAGGGCATTGATGAGCTGCATGCAGCCAGCCTACACTCACACACACAAACACAGATATTACCGCATCGGACACACGGGTCAGCAAAATGCATACATATAGCCATGAAAAAAATTTAAGAGACCACTGTATACAGGTTTAATCCTGGTTCTGCTGGCAGAAGCTACGCTGAGCAGCAGGTTGCTTCCAGGTTCAACATTTCTAAGACAGCAGTACACAAGAATTAAGTGAAGCAGGAGACACTGGGTACAACCAAAAACCAGTTAGGTACAGGGCAGAAGTGATTTTCTAATGCCAGATATGACTTGTCTTATCCAACAGTTTCTCATGAATCGTAGGATGACATCAAGTGACCTTTAAAAGGAATGGGAAACATTAAGTGCAGATGTGAAGTGCACTGCTAGGACAGTGTGTTTCAGGGTCCTAGAAGCAGGACTGAAGACCCATAAAGCAAGGAAGAAGCCCTTCATCAGTGAGAAGCAGGGAACAGTCAGGCTGCAGTTTGAGAAATGAGCGAAACAAAAAATTGTGCTGTGGTCTCTTAATTTTTTCCATGACTGTATATGCATTTCTACAGGAGAGGTCCCATCAGAAAATAATGGCCCTTTCACAAACGATCATTATCTGACCATGTCAGACCCGAGAATGGCAGCAGGGTTACCTTGAGGGCTATGATGGGTTTCTGCATTCCTGACAGCAGAGGCTGGAATCGCTCCAGGTCCTGCTCCTCAGCATACTCTGTGATGGCCTCCAGCACTCGCTCTTGTCTGAGAGGGGCAGCGGAAGAACATACCAAACCAGAGAGCCATACGGCACCATTAAACTAGGCAATGGGTGATTGAAATAAGAAAGCATGCTACAGTGCCAATCCCATTGAGAACCTGAGGCTTTCTTTGGAAATTGCAGTCAACAAGCAACATCCAACCAACGTGAACCTAAGTCTGCCACGAAGAACGGGCAAAAAAAAAATCACTCCTGGACAGTATAAAGAAAAAAATAGCTGGTAGATTCTAACTCCAAAATACTTTGTTGTTTTGCTGTTATTGCAGCAAAAGGTGGCTATACCAAATACTAATGAGTTTGGGTTACAAGCAGCATTTTCCAGTGTTTTTATTTTATTTAAGAGATTCGCAGACTAATTAATTTTGACTTAGAAATTTTCTGCTAGATGAGTTTGCAACAAAAATACTAATAAACATATATGTATGTATCATTTTAAATGGGGCTACAGCACTCTTGCAATAAGGCATTATAAATAGGGATGGATTATGTGTACTACATAACTAACCTCCATGTCTACAGAATAGTGTATATAGGACCACCACCCCACCCCACCACCCCACCCCCTCATGGGCAGGTTGCTTACAGGTTCTCTGGGCTTTCCAAAATACAGATGGCTGACAAGAGCCTGACGGCATCCGCCATCATATGGGGCACCCTGGGGTTGATGGCCCTCACTAGCAGGGGGATACCATCCCGTGAGGTGAGCATGGCTTTCAGGCCGTGCTGAGGGACAGAGAGAAAGCCAGATGAATGCTGCGCTCCGGCCGGCCGGCCGCCCGCGGCGCTCAGCCGGGGTAACGATGCCCAGCCCATGGCTTTAGGCCCTGCAGCAGGACTCGCCCACCTTATTGTTCATGAAGGCCTTCAGGCAGCGGATGATCTCATGCTGACACTTTACTCTGGCGGGATCAGGAGGAGAGAAAACACAGTTTGAGCACAGGCCACATGCCACAGGGAGCAACAGGAGGTTCAGCGTGAAGGCAAGGATCCTCACGAGTATTCGTCCTTTTCGTCCTGCAGTCTCTTCAAATAGTTCAACAGCAGGGCAAGTCCCTCGTCCCCAAATGTCTGGACCCAGCTGTGAAATGGAGAGATTTAATATGCAAACTTACAGTCTACTTCACACCAGAGCTGCTCACTAAGTCAGGATCGAAATAAATCACATCTCTTTGTGGTTATACACCTCACATCCAGTATTCTTAGTGTAAAAATCTGCTCGGAGTCTGGTACAAAGCTGACTAACGCCATAATAAATTAGGCCCTGAAGGAACATGCGAGTGGAAGACCTCTACGCGTTTTCAGGAGTTACGGGCTGAATCAATAAATCCAGAAAATCAAGAGAAGAGGATTAATGCAAGAAAGACCGTCTCCACAACAGCCCGGAAATCAAAGAGCTGGAGAAGGCAAGGAACTCACTCACTATGGCCTAGCCTGAAAAACGTTAACTTCCTTACCATATGTGGGATAAATTAACACTGGATGTGATGGACATGGACCATTGACAGATGGTAAAACAAGACCGAGCCTTCCCCCCCCCCCGCCCCCAAACAGAGAACTTACAGCTACCATTCTCCACCAACACAGTAATCTCCCTCATGATCACAGTAATCTCACTGTTTTAAAATCAGCCCCAACCTCCTACTGCAACTAAAAATGAAGTTTCTTTGATTTTTTTTTTTTTTTTTTTAATAGATTTGAGTGCCGTATGAGCACTGTGATAGATTACTTTGAATTTAGATACCAGAGAATCCTCAGATGTCACATTACATCAGTTTCCTCCGTAGGCCAGTCAGGCAGCAACAATGAAAGCAACTCAAATATCTCACCTCCTTCCTAACGTTGTCCTGCAGCTGGACAACTAATCCCAGCTGCTTCCAAATTACCTTTGAGATAACAGAGCAGGAATGCTAAATATACTCTGACGTGACATATGGAGCAGGACATATGGACGCTATATTTCTATGACAATGTGGAGGAGAAACATGACAGAGGACAGGTTAAGTTTATGGCATGAAATTTGGGAATCAAATGAGACAAAAAGACCTACATCTTGACAAATGTGCCCTGGAGCAAGTGACAAGATCTGTCTGTGTGTGTGTGTGTGTGTGTGTGTCTCTCACTCCCTGCATATAAATGCGAGGTTCCGAGTTTGTGTGGCTGTATGTGTAAGCATAGAGATCCACATGTCACACCTCACAGGATTGTTGCTAAGCGACACTCGCAGTGACTCCAGGCAGCTCAGTAATTGGCTATCCCTCAGGTCTCCCTTCAGCTCCTGGATGTACATCACCGCAGACCTGGAGCTCTCCTTCTGGCTCTGACCCTGGAGGCACAGAGAGGAACTGGAATTTAGTCTAGTATTATATGGAAAGCTGGTTCTGCAGAGATGGGCTGTGATTTGGGCGGGCCCGCCAGTCTATTGCTTCTTCACCGCTTTGGAGGTGTGCAGGTACTGGGACACCATCTCCCTCTTGATGGCGATGTCTTTCTCTCGGAGAGGCTGCTGCTTCTCTTCGTTCAGGTTCATGTCCACCTGGAGAGAAAAGGGAGGCGACCCTAAGTAAGTGATCATAAGCCTACACAGGGTCAAAAATGCTGGTCAAACTGTATTTTGCAGCTACGCTCATCAGAACTAACCAAATAGACCAATTCTGTATCACTCCTCAGCCTTTAGTGTTCTCTTGTTCTAACCTTTACACCTGACCTGTCAAATGCAGCCAATCAGGATCATGCACATTTACAATGCAACCATGTATAGTCATTATAAGGCTAATGACTGACTTTTCTTCTCTCTGCCATTAACCTCAGTACAGGAATACCTGTTGGCCTTTATGCAAATTGAAGTCCTTTCAGTGCTTATTAAAAAGTGAGTCCAGTGCCCCGAGCCCCCAGCAATACCCACTAATAACATATGGGACAGACACATACCAGCATCTGCTCAAAGAGCTCCAGCACGTACTCATCAGGGTGGTCATGCATCTGGGTGGGCACCTCGTACTGTGTGGCCAAGGAGTGTCGCTGGCCAGGAGGGAGGGGCTTCTCCTTCTCCTTCTTAATCCGCATGCTAGTGAACCGTTCCAGCTGTTTGGGGAGGCGGGATAGATTACTGTGTGATTGTTATGATTTTGAAGCAGTCAGATGTTAAAACATAATTCAGACTCTCAGCCACAGATAACTTCAACTCATTCAAGTTTTTAGGCCAAAAAACCTCATGGTCACTTGCTGGGTCGCAGACCCTAATGGAACAGCACACACAAGAAGCACACCAAATGTGTGAGTGCAGCATTTCTACTTATCTGTGCACGGTTAACAAGCTCAGGACAGTATTAGTTCAGTCAGGAAAACTATTAGAATAGTGAAGAGTTGATGTGCACTTTCAGAACGGAAACTCCTAAGCAGGGTGACCCCGTATTATGGATGGGGTGGATCTCTAGGTCAAAACGAAGCCATGGTCTGATGCTGGAAGTCTGCAGGACAGCGTTAATAAGCCATGGTCCTAAAAGTCTGACCCAAAAACCACCCCTCAATCCCAGATTGGGACATCGAAAGCCCATTTCTACCAGTCAGCTGTTTCCAGGACCAGGGCTGAGGGGTTATTTGGACAGAAAGAAGACACAAGCCTGACGGTGGAATACCAAAGTATCCAAGGACACCAAGTATACATCCAAGGTTAAATGCATAAGGCTGGACAACACACACACACACAACCAGACAACAGAGATGTTAAGAATTAATGGAGGACAGGCATATGGAGGGCCTGTTACCTACCTCATCTGGAATCAGCCGTTTGAAAGTCTGTTTGAAAGAAGAAAGTAAGACGAGAGGAGAGACAGAATGATGGAATTAGACCAAAGTAAATATGCAGTAAACAGCTGCCGTAGGAGAAAATTTCCATGCGGATCCCAAGTAATGTCTACCTTTTTGAGTCCATGGTGCATTTACGACAAAAAAGATTCCTAACACATTTAAAGCCTGATCACCACAGTTAAAACTAAAATATTTAATTACTAGAATTTACTGGGACAAATCGTTAGACTGACAGTTCTACAAGGAGAAATTTAACTGAATTCCAAAACACATCAGAAAAAGCCTTATGACAACAGGGGGCAGCAACATCCAACAAATGCTTGTTTTGCACTTTAACATAATGATACAATATCACCAGAGGGGGCACTAGAGTTCCACCAATAAAAGCCTGCAACGCAAGAGGTTTAATAGACAAGTATGCCACCAGACACCTCATTGATCATTGTATGCATGGCCCCCAGCTTGACGGAATTGCCAGGAGCAAGATATCAGCAGAAACAAAGCTTGTCTGGCTTTGTGGCAGGGAGGACACCCATTTGGTGCCTCAGTCAGCTCACAGATCACTTCCCAGTTCAACAATCGATCCCACATGGAGGGACTGATCCTTGGCCTGACTTACTGCCTAAATCAGCTCCCATCCACGAATGGTCTTAAGTTGTTATCTTCCCATAAAAGGCTCTGTGAGCTCCCTCACCACAAAAACACACTTATACTAAGACTTGCATGTTGAATACTCCCCGGGGGCAAGGAATTTGACAGGCTGGTATAAGCAGGACTGCTGCCAGTCTCATTGATCGTTGTACTGCCTGGAATGCTGCACAACCAGTAGATGGAAAAACCCCAACAAGGGCTGTTCTGCGTAACCAATACTCAACAAGACAGTGTTATTGCAATACACCACACACGTACTAACCAGAAACAAAGAGGTTTGTGTATGTGGGTTATGTTTATATTATATTTGTGCAGCCCAAATGTCCCCACAATGTGATAAAAACCTGTTATTTTGATGTTGTGGGGACCATTTTTCGGTCTCTGTAAGGGGAAACTCAAATTTATACAAATCTGTGACTGCAATCGAAAAATGCCAAAAGTCTTGTATTTTGTTTGGTTACTTATGGTTAAGGTTGGACATGGTTAAGGTTATCATTGTTGGGATTAGGGATTTTCCCATAGAAATGAATGGACAGTCTCCACAAAGATATGTATACAAACGTGTGTGTGTCTGGTTCTGTGTGCTTGTGCACGTGTATGCATGCACATGTATGCGTGTAAGTGACCAGGCACTGTGTGAGGCCCTAGAGAGGGTGAAAACAGCTCAGACTCCTGGGACTTGTCTCCTAGGCTGGATCAAACAGAAACGTTTCGAATGGATGCTGATAAGTCCCATACCACGAATGACCTTCTGTTACCTTTCTTCTTAACAAATCCTCCCCTTTATACATTCCTGAGCTGGACACATTCCCCCTGCGCATGCACACACACAGACTGGCACCCAATGGCACAGACCACTCCCTACAATGCAGGTTAATGACACATCATATGTGGGTTATAAAAAGGCTGTCTGGATTGAAAGCCTGCATTATTATTCAAATAAAGCAATGAATTGTATCAAAGTCGACTTTGCAGAATTGATGCAACACCGATTACTCTGAAAGTTCAACTATGACGCAGCAAACAGGCCAAACCAATTTTAAGTCTGCTGCCCAATTTCAAGCTATGCCCAGAAAGTGTAAAGGTCACATGGGAAAAGAACAGGGTCAAATTTCTCATTTCAGGCTGAGTGAACACACTTTCAATTTCAGCCTTTTACTGCAATTACAACTAGTCTATTGTGTTAGTGCTTCCTTTGGTGGGGTGGCGCAGCTGATGCTGGGCAGTTCCACTTGTGCGGTTCACCGGGAGTGGTTGACCTGTCACTTCTGGTCACACACACACGCAACCCTACAGGCGTTTACTTTCAGCCGCCTCAGGAAGACCACGCCTAAGACCCAGCAGGTCCATGCAAGGCGTATCACTGCGCTCCAGGACAGGAGGCCGACACGGACCCAAAATGAGATGAAACGCGATCCTGCAGTTTCTGTAGCATCTGCTGGCAGGCTCTGCTTACAAAGACGAAGCACAACAAAGGCCTGAGCTCCCGGCGGCATGGTGATGGATACGCATGCATTGCCCACCTTGCAGCCATGTGCTTTCTGTGGTGCCACTGTGGGGTGAACTAAGCCAAACCGGCCACAAATCGTTAAGCTAAAGCCATGTAAAGGAGTCCATGAAGCTCCAAACTCATTGAGATCATCTGATCAAAAGGACAGTGGTTAAACCAAAATATAAAGTACTTAACATAAGCTCTCTCACAAACACAAAAAAAGCCAGCGCCACACACGTTTGTTCTAACATACACATAAGGAACTGTACTCTCTCGCAATCAGGCATTCACTAACGGTCACTAGTTCATTTGCACGATAACATCTTGTGTTTTGCCCTCATTTGTTTCTTCGTTTACCGTTTTGCTAAAACTCTTGAACCAACAAGCAGATTAACGGTCACCAGAAGACTGGACATGCCGAAAACTAAACTGCAATTTCTTCAAAATGTCCAACAGATTTTAAGCATCACATTTTTTTTTTTTTTATTTCACATTCTGTAATAGGGAGAGTTCTACAGACGCAAGATGAACAAAAACACCAGAATCTGAAGCAACCCTCCCATCTGCCTGTACTGGTTACCACTGGGGAACCCCTGCATGAAAGGGCCACATTACAGCAACAGTAGCAATGCAGCTGGGCCAAACACAATATGCAGGACCATTGCCAAGCCACCAGATCCTCTGTCAGCAACAAAACATTCCATTGAGGCTCCACCTAGAGAACGTCCTCATTACACACAAGCTTTCAAGGGCCAAGCACGTTAAGAAATATCGAGCTGTTCCTCCTTATACTGCCGAGTGGCAGATTAACGTCTTACTGACAAACGAGTCGAAGGAGTGCTACTTCTCTAACTCTGCAGTCTGGTTTCATCGTCCGGCAGGCCAACAAGCACCCTGAAGACAAACTTTGCATACCTGACTGAGTGATATGCATCACCGCACTTGTGTGCCTGTGTTGTGTAAATTGTGACTGAAAGTAGATGAACCAGGTCCTTCCAGTTGCTCAAATTCAAACTAAAAACAGAAGCTTTTTAAACCGAATTAGAGGGAGGCAGTGCATTGTGGAGCTGAAAGCCAGCAGAGTCCAGAAACAGCCCTTTAAAAGTACATTTGTCAAGCTACCCGCTACCATGAGTCAGAAGACTGCAGAGACCTTCTGTTTTTCTATGATACCTAAAATAAATCAAAAAGATTAAATGCTCATACCAAACAGCCTTGCTGCCAGAAGGCCGCTGTTTACCAACATAGCCCTTTTACAGCAATAAGTATCATTTAAGCATATTTAAGCATCTGCCAGCAATCCACTCCCCTTGGCAGTCATTCTTGTCATTCGTGCACAATGGCAACCATCTCAGGTGATAAAGCAATGGATTGGCATCCCCAGAGTGACTGTCAGTTCAGTACATGGTAAGGCCTACACACGTAGAGACAGCCCACGCTCATGAGAGCGAGCCCAATCTGACTAGGATTTAAGTTAAGATTGTACAGTAAAGACATAAGCCAGGTAACACTGGCACGTCCCCAAAATATACTGAACCGCATTGGAACGTTTGGTGCACTTTCACACCTCAGAATATGTAAAAGCACTAAAACTGTTTTTAAAAAGTCAACTAAATGTAAGCCTGAGTACTTTCTGTACACCCAAGAGTGGACCAAAGTATGCTTGAAAACATTATTTAATTAAAATTTAAGGACTTTAATAAATATGCCTTTTATATTCTACTACTCTGTGAAATTCTCTTTTGTTCTGTCCAGCTGTTCATGCCAACTCACTCTAGCCAATATTTACATCCAGTACACTGTTAATGTTGATACATTCATGATGCAGAATTTATTTTGTTCACAGAGGATAAGTTTAAAACCTCGGCCCCATGCTCAGACTGGGCTCATGAGCATTTTAGAACCCTGCTTTATTCTTGACAGACTTGATTTAATGGCTGGGACCCATGATTTTCTGATATACACACACGGCTCGTAAAGGACCACCAAACACTGAAGGTTATATTAAGCATTAAGATCTACAATTATATGACAAAAGTTAATTGGCAAAGAACACATAAAGAATTAATGTTCATTAGCATGAAAATCTGTATTATCTTCCACTTAAAATAAATTGGTTAATTTCAGTAAAGATTCATAGTGCAGGAGTTTATTAGTCAGTCAATCCATATATATGGCATCCAGTACATGGAAGGGCCTGAGCACTCAGGTGATGTAATGTACGAGTCACACATTCCGCTATTAATAAACAGGCAGACTGAATAACTTTCATTGTCTGATGTCAAATAAACGTGTGCACGCTGACCCTGTAACCACCTGGTTGCCATGGCTGCCACATAACCGCAACGCCTATGTGACTGACAAAGTGATGTCACCTCCTAGGGCTGGCAGGAAGTGGGAGGGGGGGCGGGGGGGACGCCCAGCAGAGCTGCAGCAGAGGCAGTTCTGCTCTGTACAGGATGTCACCACTCCACAGGCCTGAGTCACCACGGGAAGGCAAGGCCCCCACCCAGCGATGAAGGGAGCGAGAAAGGGCAGACAAAAAGCACCAGGCCTGCAGACGCTTTTACACTCAAAAGAAGCAGCCCAGACATGCCAGGGGGTCCATGACCAGGGCCTTGCACCCTGGGAGCTCTGTCAGATGGAGGGGGGATGGGGTGTATGTCCCATGAGGTATGTATGTCCCAGTCATGCCCCCTAATCACCATAGATACAATTTGGGCGTCATGGAGAGAAATATGGCATTGAACACCAGATGGATCGCAACATGGTCCTTAAACATTTCACTATGAGCGCAGGCCATCAAAACAAAAACTTTAAACCCCCTCATAATGCATCACAGTTT